ATGTTCCTGTATTTGTGCTTATGTTGTTCATGAGGAAACATTCCAAAACAGAAAAGGTAGCCATTTCATGTATAGACTTTGTCTCTATGGTTGGATTCTTTCAGCTTTTAAGATAAATGTAGTTAATATTGGTCTTTCATTTAAAGGTACACACTGTGTTTTCCAACAAAATGCATTTATTTATAAATGATTTCTGCATTACAAAACTGTGATATTAATTCACCTTGTTCAATCATCAATGGATTATTATTAATTATTTGATGAAATAAAACATGCCAGATATTGCACATTTTTTTTTATATTTCACTGTCAACGAATTTGTATTTAATTGCCAGTCATCTTTTCAGGCATGTTCAGAGTCCAAAAATCCTTAGCTAGTTGCTCAAGATGATGCATTGCCTGTAAATGGGACCCCAATTAATTCACAGAAAAAGAATCGCCACAATTGCTTATCAGATTAAATAAGTTTGTGTATAATTTCATTAATATGATAAACATTCTACTTGTATCTTCCCGATATTCTTAAGATAAAAATCTAGATAATAACTGATGGACTGCATTCAAGTTGTGTTAATGAAATATAAGATCAAGGTATTTCATTAACAATCTAGAGCAGGGATAATCTTGGTGTCAAATCCAACCTGCTGCCTCATTTTGTATGGCCTTAGAGCTAAGAATAAACTTTTTTTTTTTTAAATTTCAAGGTATGCATCATAATGGAATACTGTGTGGTCCTCCCAAAGTTTTGCATTAAAAAGATGCTTTATTGCCATTTATGAATCACAAAAATTTATTTCTAACTTACATTCCACCTTGATATGTGAGAAACATTCTCCATTCATTAATGTCACCAGTGTATAGGAGTTAATAGAAAATTACAAGACACCTTGTAAAGTAAACAAAGTGAGTGGGAGCGGTATTAATAAGCAGAGTGACATTGCTATCAGAAGAACTATTTATTTGTTGTACCATACACAAGTTCAACTTTAAAAAATAATTAAAAATGTAATGGCAATAGTTTGAAAAATATTTTGAATAACTAGACCAAAATTAAGAAGACTGAGATGCATAATATATTTTTCCAAAGCTAACTATGAACAATTATTTTTTAATTCGAGTATTGTTTGGCAGCCCCAACAGGGATTTATTTAGTGCTGTATATTTGTACAATTGAAATGAAAGAACCAAAGAAGACCCAAATGTACTTAAAATGTTTAATATCACAATATACTGCCAATTTCATGGTAAACCATTACTGATACTGACACACAAAGTTACAACATGCTTCTGACAACATTTTTAAACATCTTCAACTGGAACTTTGATAAAATATTTGAACTGGATGCAAAATGTATGATCAACAAAACAACATAGGGCTGCACAGTTATCCCCTTTTTGTCTGATAGACTGGTGTCTTTACACTATTTAAACTACAGCAACTCAAAATATTGAATTTATAAAACTTACAACCCTTCTGCAAGCTGCATCTTTCAACACTAAAGGACATGCTCTAAATGGAAAAAGAACACATCCCATAGATAATACATACAATTTTATAGACCCAACAATCTTATGGAAAAATTGAAAGAGCTGAAAAGTAATGAGCACTACATATACTTTTTCTTTACTTATGTTAGAAGAAAAAAGTTGTTTTATTTATAATTCTAAACAACTATTAACTAAAATATTTTTACATTTTGCATCAAAATAAAAAGTCATACAGGTATGCATTACTTTTTTTAAATGACAAAGTTACTTCAACCGGAATGTATTTCCTGAATGCATTCTACAAACTACAAGATATTTTACCAAATTCAAATATTCTGACTTACAATGTCACTTACAATAAATAAGTGACATTAGGACTAACATAATAAACGATTAGTCAGTTTAAAAATTGCTTGTATAACCAATGAAATATTAATTTAAAAAAAAATAAAAATGGTTGTCTTGCAACAGCAAAATCTCAGTTATATTTTGTTTTTCTTTATTACAAGGTGCAAAAGCATTTAACTTAAGAAAAATATATATGAAATTAAGTTTAAAATTATCACAAAAATGACTAAATTAGATTCAATAATTAACAGCAAACAAAAATAAAAAAAAATAAAACTCAAATAGTTTCTAATGAAAAAACTGATAAAAATAATGGTAATAGATTTCTACTCCGATTATGAGAACTTTCTGATAGACATTATACAATTGTATGGACATAACACAGGCACCCCCAGAAGTAAGTTGTCTCCAGATCCATGGGACATACCTTACATAATTATGAAAATGGGAAATATTCAAGGCTTTCTTTCACACGTACATATAAAATGCACAATTTGAACAGGTCTATTAAAAAAATCAATTTTATTATCTTTCCACTGATGCATTGAAAAAAAGGAAAATAAAAGAGATGGCATTGCCTTCCATTTTATAATGAGACCATAACCTAAGGTCCAGATACTTCCTTTGTGATCATTAGTTCATCAATTCTGTTTAAGTTTAAGCAATCAGGCATTGGGTAGAAATCGATGAACAAAAAATGTTTTGGAAAGATATTAATAGTTAATGATAAGTTGGGGTTGATGTCTCTTTTATCACAAACAGAAACATCAGAATATGAATATGCTTACAAAACAGCCTTTGTTAATAATCTGATGCAGCCTTCACAGAAAATATCTCTAGTAAGATCAAACTAGCAGTGCCTTTGAATTTTACTGGCACAGCGCAATTGTGTCATGCCACTCAAAAGTTTTTAAGTCAAACAGAAACTGTGTAAGCTCAGGGTAAGCTGATTATTTAACATAAACCAAGTCAAAAGCAACATAAAGTTGGGGAGTTCTTGTGATTGGAAAATAAAATTTCAATAAATTAGGAATCCTCTTGACTCTTATAAACTATTGTTGAGATGCATTTAGAGCCTCTAATAATGTTAAATTATGGCTGATGTAAAGTCAGCAAATAAATTTAAATTGTTCATAATTGAAAAAACTATTAAAATATTAATAGAAAATGCTTAATATAACAAGTAAAAATAAAAGAGTATTTTGACATTTTACTTGCTGTATGTAATAAAATGGCATTTATTAACTTTGTTTGATTTGCCCTCAGTGCAAAAAAAAATTAAAATAGAACTCTATATCATAAAACAGCCACAACATATTTACAAAGGACAGATGAAAACCTCCCAGCAGTAATAAATCAGACTAAAAAATGACTAATAATTAATTAAACAGCAATTTCATTTTTTTTAAAGCAAGAAAAAAAAATAACTAATAAAAATTTAAGAAAAGAAAAATTGTCTAAAATCCCCCTGCCCCATTAAAAAATATTTTGTAATGCTTTAACTAAAATAATTCAAGCTAGGGTAGTTAAGAATAAGGAAGCAATCAAATCATCTATTTGTGTGATAGTTGTGCAATCAACATTGTTAGAGACAACTTTAGCATCAACTTTTAAGAAGTATTAGAAATCAACCATACTCATAAACAATGATAACACTTAAAATGTACATATATGGAAATAAAAGCAAGATTCCAAACCAAATGTTCACCTTGATTATCCAGGATAAAGAACTGAATGCCACCAACCCTGATCATAAAGTGCAATCCTTTGTAATGAGTCCTAGGTGATTTGGGTCTTTAAAAGAAGATGTGCATTTTACAACCTCTTGCCTATAGGTTTCTGTAGCTAATGTTTTTTGGCTGAGAATTAAAAAAACAGTTAAGCTATTTGCCTAAGTGACTGTTCAGTTTCTGTGAAATAGGTTTTTTCTGGAAACTGATTTATCTCAACCTGGAAGAATGGTAGTGCTAGTGAATGAGAAGACAGACCATTGAAGTATTTTATTGTGTTCGGAGAGAGATGCCTGTACCTGCCATTTTTTTTCCCCATCAATGAACATGCTAATACTAACATTGGTTGAAACACAAGAATAAATCATAGAACAAACTGTAAGGTGTAAAGTAGTGCTTGAAATAAATAATTATTGCCCAATATTTTCAAAGCAGTTAAAATATCTAGAGCAGGGGTCGAGAACCTATGGCTCGCGAGCCAGATGTGGCTCTATTGATGGCTGCATCTGGCTCGCAGACAAATGTTCGATTATAAAAAAAAAAGTTGCATTAATGGTAAGAAATACTCATTATTGATTAGCAACAGCATAACAATGTTATTAAAAAGAATTCAGAGACATAATTATTGCATTTTTAGTGTTGAAATTACACAAAATGCACACATTTACTTGAATTTTCAGTTTTAAACATAATGTATGGCTCTCAGAATTACTTTTCAAAATATGTGGTTCCATGGCTCTCTCAGGCAAAAAGGTTCCCGACCCCTGATCTAGAGTTAAAAAAAATTCTTTTAAGTTATGAATACATAAAAATAAACAGACTATGTATTTACATCATATTACACTATTATTACTATTATGCAAAAAGTTGGTTTAAAAATAACACTTATTACTTATTAAATAGTTAAATACTATACAAATCTGAGTTGGTCTGGAGCTTAAATTAAACTATTTTATCTATGTACAAGGACATTAATATTATTTCAATAATGTATAATAATATTACACACAAAACATGCAACATAGAACCAACAACTTACAGCTAATTATTGAGACTATTCAACATTTACAGCAAAACCAGATTTGGGCATTACTTAATGTTTAATTTGCACCAAGACGTTTGACAATTATAAAACACTTCTGGTAAATTAGCTCATCAAACTTAAGGTTATCACAACATTCTGTACTTCTAATAATTTAGAAGCATTCAATCTTGCATTAATAGGACTAGGAAAGCTTAATGGGACATTTTTTGAAAACTCTTGTTTAAAATAATACTTAAATTATTTTGACCCAATTATTATGAATCAACATATACCACTAAAGAGATAACCTTTACTTTTGTTGCAAGTAAAGGAACTAAAATAATTCACTAATCACTGCCTGCTTTTTGCAATTGCTCTTCCTCCCATTCTGCTGCATGACGTTTTTTCTTGTGCTCATTGAGTTTACCTAAAGTGTAGTAGCCCTTGTCACAGTAGGAACACTGATGCTCTTTGACCCCTGTGTGTCTCTTCAAGTGAACTTGGTAGCGGTAACGTGTGGGGAACGCCGAATCACATTGATCACATTTAAATGGCATATCTTTTGTATGAACAACCTGGATGTGCAGTTTACGATGACCTCTTTGCTTGAAACTGCGATCACAGAAGTCGCATTTGAAAGGTGTCTCACCGCTGTGGGTTCTTCTGTGTGTCTTCAAGTCCGAATTGGAAGAGAATGCTTTCTGACACACTTCACAAGTCCAACGTTTTAATATCTTAGCTTGGTGAGAGAATTGTCTGGTCGCCCAGTTGTAAGCTTCAACATTACTTGGCAGTCCACAATCTCCTTCATTTGTAGGCTCCATCTTGACAGGATTCTTATTTAATGTCCTAAAAGTTTCTTCCAATTTAACACATTTTTCTGGTGTTTGTGAAGCACAAATATCCTCTTTCGGCGATAGTGGACTGATGATTTCTGTATCATCAGTGTCATTGCCATCTTGCTCCACCTGCTCTTGTTTCACAACTATCCCATCAAATCCTGACACTTTGGTGCTGGAGAATGTAAGGAACGTTCCAGTGTCTGGAATGTAAGTGGAGTCCCCGAGTCTCTTCATCAGCTCATCATGTTTTTTGAAGATATGCTGTTTAAGTTCAATGCTGGTCTTGAAGGAAATTTTGCAGAGATCACACTCAAAAGGTTTTGAGCCTGGCAAGCTGTGGCAGTAACAGTGAACACTGAGGTGACTCAGCATAGGAAAGCGTTGGCCACATATATTGCACTTGTAGATGTTCAGCATTCTATCATATCTGTGTTTGGTGTTTTTATGTTTGTCCACTTCTGAAACAAAGCGGAACTCCTGGCCACAGATGTCACATTTGACAAATTTCTTGAAGGTGTGCATTTTTTTGTGCACGATCAGTGCATACTTGCGTCTGAAAGTTTTCCCACATTCTTCACAAGGGAATGTTTCTGTGTAAATCTTGTGAAGTTTCAGATGTCTTTCTAAATTTTCTTTACCCAAAAAGCTTTTACTACAAAGGTTGCATTTAATAAATTCTCCGTCTCTGTGTGCTTTACGAGCATGTGCTTGGAACTTTGCACCACCACTAAAAAACTTCATGCCACAAAAAGGACAGGAATAATTTTTTGGTTTTGACTTGGGTGCTCTTGATTTATTGGGATCCAGTGATCCATCCTCTTGTGGATAAAAGCCCTCAGTTTTATTTTCATTCTTTTCTTTAAGCCTTTGTAAAATCTCGAATGCTGGCTCAGACGATGTGTTCTCACCACTTGCCTCATGGTTAGAATCTGGCAAAAATGTAGCCTGGATTATTTCCTGATTGCGATGACCCCGCAGGTGAGCATTGTAGCCACTACGAGTTATAAGCTGGACACCACAGATCTCACATCTACAGTCATGGCCAGTTTTATGGAGAGAAGAATGTTTTTGTAGCATACGTTTGGAACGAAACCCTCTTCCACATTCTTCACATTTATAAGGTTTGGTCTCATCATGATAGTTCATGTGCTTCTGGAGTTCTTCTGGTGAGTCAAACATGACGGTGCAAATGGGACATGAGTATTGGGACAGCCCTGCATCATCCCCTTCAGATCCAAGATATTTTCTGATGAAACAAAATATAAAATCTTACTAGGCTAATCAGCACTTATACACGTTAATACATAGATTTTATATCAGTTTTATGATTTTAAGGACTGGTTAAACAGGGGTTCTTAAACTTTTTGCAGCCCACACCCTCTCTTGATTTCAAAACATTTCATGCACCACCATCTTGATTTGAAAACATATTTCCGCTTTACCCAAAAATGCCAATAAAAATGCAAATAGAATCTGGGTTTTCTCACACCCCTGAAACTGACGTATGTGCCCTTTCATTCAGTCTCAAAGTCTCCAGTGACCTATATGTATTGGTTCTATACTTCCTACAAAATTACCCATTAGAGCCCCAAAATAGCAAAGAATCAAAAGATTGTGAGAAAATCCAATGGAAGAGAGGAACACTGTTTGACTGAACATGTTGTAGAAGGTTGGGAAAGAGTCATGGAGAAGGAAGATGTTCACCCTTACTTGGAAGATTAATGAGTCACAAACCATTTGTTTCAATAAAACAATATATGTTAAGCTTTAATCATGATTAGATCAAATACAAATCGAATTTTTACATGACTGAGAATAGGACGATGAGTATAGTAGGAAAATGTCAGTGTTATAGTTGCAAACAAAAGATGCTGTAACATATGTCCCTTTGTGATTGAAGTTGATAAGATCAATTTCCCTCTGTAAATATTCAGGATAAAAAATGTTTTTTCTTGCACAAGTCGCAAAGTAATTTACATCATGCTTTGTAAAAGAATGCGAAAAATCATACTTATTGGAGATAGGTCATTGTCTTGGAGACTGTTTTAGAGAACAGCTGTACAACATCAATAAACAAGCCCTTTGTCCTGTTTCTAAACATTTCAATAGTGCTAACCATAATGGAATATTAGACATTGCAGTTACTGGTATAATGCATGTGAGTAACACATCTTATAGAATTTATATGGAAAACAAATTAATAAAAAAAATTATTATGTAAATTTAATTTAGAATTATATGAATTTTTTTTGTTTTGTTATACTGATGTAGGCATTTGCCGAAATGTTTGAATTTGTATTTTTTAAAATCCTAATTAAAGCTTAAGTTAATTGTTTTATTTACACAAATTGTGTCTCAATAATCTACTTAAAAGCTTTATCCCAGTGCAACCCTTTTATAATTACATGGAGGAGACAACTCTGTGACCTATATTACAAAGGAATGACAGAAAAAAATACAGAAAACCAAGCTGGATAACTGAACCGGGAGTAGACTTTTTTAAAACCAGATGCTGCCCATAAAGGTAAATAATATTTTTTTTTTTTAAACCGACAAGTTAAAGACTCTTCTTTCTTCCCCTGACCATCTTTTCAAGCTCAGCATTCACAAGACTAACACAGCTGAAAATGTATTTTATCAATTTATTATTTGCTGTTTTAGTTGCATGAGTAATAATAGAAGTTTAAGTTGCATAAAGTAATATGGTTCATGTACTAAAAATATTTTAAAAGATTCTAATAAAGATTTAGGGCAAATAGAACCCTGACCTAATTTAATTATGTTAAAGCATGTCAAGACAGTGCTAATAAATAAACTATTTTGAATATGAAAACACCACCATCAGCAGATTGGCAGAAACACACTAAGAAATACACATTGTGTTTCATCATGGCCACAGGTCAAAAGGCCACTGGATGTGTTATGATGATGTAACTTTTAACATTTACTGTAGATCATAACAGCTAACTTTTATCCCCAGACATCGTAGCCTGATTCTTTTAAATTATATTAGCTCCATAGATTCTAATGGCTCTGGTACTCTGTTTCATAATAGAAAAAAAGAGATGATACCTTACCTTTGCTGACTCAGCTGATCTATGAACTGCATTTCTTCAGCAAATGGAAGACTCCCTGGTTTTACATCACAAAATTTCAAATGAGTTGACAGTGAGCTTTTCATCTTAAACCTGCGGAGACAGCGTCTGCACTGGAAGGGAAGGACATGTGAATGCTGCAAATCGATGTGGTTACGGAGCAAACAAGGGGCAAGAAAGCTCTCCTGGCACACAGCACACTGGAACCCTTGTGGATCATTGTGGGCACGGACATGCTTTAGGTAGGAGTGATACTTGTATAAAGTCTTGCCACACACATTACATATATAATTGTCATCTATATCATCTGGAACATGGGAAATTGTAGTTTATAAATAACATTACTCCTTAACAGCTCTAAATGATGTATCAATTTGATTCTAGAAGATAAATTTATAGGTCAGATAATTAAATTAGTTATTTTGTTAAATAAGCATTTGTGGAAAAGGGGAATTTTGAGAACTAGGTAGGTTAATTATAATAAAATATCTATATGAGACTCTGCAGGAGTTTGGCATACCCAACAAACTGACAAAGACTGATACTTGTAACATTAAACACCTAAACAAGCAAAATCAAGGTTCAAGGAGAATATTCAAGGGAATTTCAGATTAGACAAGGCCTAAGACAGTGAGACTATTTCTTGTATGCTATTTAACCTAACATTAGAGAGAGTTACAAGAAGCATACATATTGATACCCGAGGAACAATAACAGAATACTTTCTGAGGGAAAACCAAGACCCACAACCAATGGGCACTCTCTACAATCAACCCCTTCAGTATCTTGCATATGCTGATGACATAGCACTGATAGGGAAAGTATTAAACACATATCAAAAGCCTTCATTGAATTAGAATATGCATCACTGCAAGCAGGGCTGGAAGTTAACAACCAAAAAACAAAATACATGACCATGATAAGAGAAGAACAGACAGATGAAGCCATTAAAATTAGAAACCAGACTTTGAAAAACTAAATCAATTCAAATACCTAGGATCTTTATTAAATGAAAGAAATGAATTACTAACAGACAGAAATGAAAGAAAAAGAATATCAGCCGGAAACAGGGCATACTTCAGTAGTCAGAAAATACTCAAAAGTAAAAACATTACAGGAGAAACAAAGGAAACTATTTATAAGATAAGATAAGATTCTTTTATTGATCCAAACAAATGGAAATGTTTTTTGATTGCAGTGTACATTTTCAGCACATAACACAAGACATCTACATTTAATTATTTCACTAGCGAAAAAAAGAGCTTTCAGTGAATTCTCTTAGTCATATCAGGGACTTCTTAGTTCTCATTAAGACTGTAAAACTGTAATCAAACCAGTTATAACATATTCAAGTAAAACTTGTATCCTAACAAAAAAAGCACAAAACCTATTAAACACATGGACAAGTTAGGAAAATAGATGGACCAACAAAGGATGAATATAAATGGAGAATACGAGCCAACCAGGAATTGTACTGTCTATATCAGGAACCCATGCTAGTAGCAGAAATAAAAAAGGGTAGGCTACACTGGGCAGGACACTTAGAGAGAATGCCAAATGACACAAAACCCCAGAGGAAAATGGCTAAAAAGTAGACCTAGGCTTAGATGAATGGATGATAAGGAAAAATGTATACAACAACTGGGAATCCAAGCATGGAAAAGAAAAGCATTAGTTACATCTGTGTGGAAGGAATTATTTAGGCAGGTCAAAGCCTTGCATGGGCTGTAGGTAGATTTATTATTAATATCTTCTTACATTAGAGGGTATTCAGAGTGAATTTTACTTCTCTTTTATTTTAAAGGAAGTCAGATATATTTGACTGTCTTGAAGAGCGAAACTTCTTTACTCATTAAATAAAAACATTAAAATTGAATTCATAAATAAAATTGAATTAAGGGCAATAATTCAAGAGTTTTAGAGTCTGTATTAATACTTGTTTCCGTGTAATGACTTACTTTGTTGAATAACACAATAAAAAAACTATTTTCATGAGGGACACTTGAGATGAATAGTAATAATAATATTAAAAACTACAGCATGTGCTAAAACTAGCAGTGCTGAAACACACATCTTGAATGGGAACTTGCCTTTCTCAACTATGCAGAGCTCCAGCTGCCATGTGGACATAGTAGTTAAAACAATTATATGTTGGGCTGTTGCTTTTGGAAACAGATCTCTCAACAGAGGAAATAGTATTCATAGTTAAGCAATATTTTTGCTATTTCTTTAGTGAACTTAAAAGGAGACCAAAAAAATGGGAAAGAACAATTCCAATATAGATTTTTTTTTTTAAAGATGGCACAAAGTAACACGGTTCTCGAAAAGTACTCTGTCAACAGAAAGGGAAATCTGATCGACCAGAAAGTTCATTTGATTTTCTTCAAAAATCATCATCATGTCCCTTAGTCCTCGGACCGTTGGGACCCCACAGATGACATGTAAACTATCCTCCTCCATTCGTCTCTGTCTTCTGCACTAGGCACAGCATCACCCAGTTTTAGTCCCGTCCACTCTTTGATGTTATCTTCCTATCTTTTTCGCTGTCTTCCTCTTCTTCTCTCTCCTATCGTGCCCTGCATGATTTCTTTGGCGAGCCCTTGTTTTCTTGTCACGTGGCCATACCATCCCAGTTTGCACTTTTTACAGACAACAGGAGGTCATCGTACTGCCCCATTGCCTGACGAATGATTTTTTTCACTTGTTCATTGGAGATATGGTCTCTATAGCAGATGCCAAGAATGCTTCTGAAACTTCTCATCTCCATCACCTTTATTTTCCTCTCAAGTTCTGCTGTTAATGTCCAGGACTCGCAGGCATACAAGAAAATGGAGAGGACTAATGAGTGCATCAGCCTGATTTTGGTGCTGGGGGATATATTTTTGTCATTCCATATTTTCTTGATCCTCTTTAGTGCTGTGTGGTCTGGGCAATCCTGGACATCAATTCGGGCTTGGAGCCTTCTTCCGAGAGTATTGCTCCTAGGTGTTCCAAGCTGCCTACTGTCTCTAATCTTTCCTCCCTGACCTCAATTTCAGTGTATATGCCGGTGGTGTTATTTGTCATCAGTTTTGTCTTTTCTGCACTGATTTGCATGAGTAAATCACGGTTTCCTATAAAAACTGAATTCTCATACATCTTAGCCAGATGTTTCCAAAATACATTATCCTGGCTCAAATCCTTGGCTCCGTCAAGCGTTGTTCAAGCTGTATGCAGTACTTAAATGTACCTATGTTCTTAAAAAATCATAAATTATATGTAAGCAGATGTTCAGTTTTAAAAAAATTCGTAGTAGTAGTAGCTTTGGTAGAAGTGAACACAACACCTTCTGGAGAAACAGGCGTGAGTTTCATTATCGAAAAATTAACTTGTTGACCAGAATTCTTCTTTCGTTGACACAATACACTGCCATAATGGTGAAATTTTGTAACAATACACATCATAACAACATAACTGTGTCATTTAGTGCCATCTTATTCAATCACGTTTTGAATTATTTTCTTACCTTTTTTCAAACACGGTCTCCCATCACAATCACTTAATCACTAATATACGATTGCAAATAATGGTCAGCTATGAAATTTTGTTCTCCATAGAAAAATATTTCCAACAAGTGCCCAACAAAAAATCACTTGAGACCTCAGGGAACACGTTGGGGCTGGAACTATGCACTGTTAACAAAGGCAAGCATGTTTGGGTCAAGGTGCTGAAGTTTTACTACTGTTACGTTGGTGCATACCACATAACACACTACCAGTATATAACTTAACAAATTTTAAGCTAATAATAGGGTACAAGTTTGATAAGTGGCATGACACTGTTATTTTATTACTATGTGACTAGCTCAAAGAGGAAAGTGAAAGTGTGGGTGAGTGAGACATGTTTTCTTCTTAATAAGTTTGAAACGAATATACTGGGTACTCTAAAAGGCTCTTTTAAATGTATTATTTATTTGAAAATATTGCATAAATTTATGGATTTCATTAAACTGAATTAGGCGAAGAGACTCTTACTTTAAAAGATTAAACAAAATAAATGTTGATTGTTTTTCCCCTTTAAAAAATCAATAAAAGCTGTTAACTGTTGTTTTTTTTAAATGACAAAATAACTGTTTTTTTCTTACTTTTCCCTTTGAATGGACTTTCCTCACTTTTCTCTTCTCCATGCTCTATTGTGGACGCTGTGTCATTTACTTTGCTTCTGTCTACCCAGACTTCAAAGGTAGACAGCCTACGATGGCTGCTAAACTGAGCTTTGTTTGAAAAAATCTCATTACAGTCCGAGCACTTCAGACTGGCTGCTTCCTGGCAGTGGATGATCATATGGGAAGAGTACACAGCCATTGTGGTGAATGTTTCATCACAAAGAAAACAAGCCATTTTCCTGATACACCCAGGAGGAAAGTGAAGAAGGTGTTCACCCTCCGTGTGTTGCTTTGATTTAGATTTAATTTTGTCTGAAAGATCAATGGAAGCCTTACTGTCTCCTTCATCTGCATTGTGAATTGTGGTTGACTCATTCTCAGTGCCAGAAATGTTGAGATTGGTTTTAGATTTGAACTTTTTCTTTTTACTTATTTTATGTTTGCTTTTCTTATTTTCAAATTTTTTTTTAACCTTAATTTGTAGAGTTTTTTTAGCAATGGGATGTAAACATAGACCATTATTTGGTTCTTGTAAATCTGGATCATTTCTGTTGAAATAGTTGAGACTTCCTCCAACTTGCTGTAATAATTGCTCTGTACTGCCAGTGAATGGAAGGTCTTCATCATCCGGTAAAAATGTCCTTAATAAACTGGCAATCGAGCTGATCTCATCTTGATTAACAAAATCTCGATTCTGCATGATTGCACAGCTTTCATTTGTTTCCAGTCATGTAAACCTGCCATTGATTTTTCAAGTTATAAAAGAATGTAAATGAATTTTTTGAAAATATAATTCACAAAGAAAGACTATGCCAATATCATCTTAAGCAATACATTTAAATTTCTTGTTAAACTGAAAGTTAATTTCTAAAGATGTCTTTTTTTTTATTCCCCTGAGATAACTTCATAAAGGCACCCCTTGCTTAGTAAACAAGTTCAGTTCTTAAGACTGGGTAATTGGCATTAAGTACACTAGCCAATTAAGTGAGTAGAAGAGAAATACAATTTTTTAAAAATATTATTATAAATTTATGCTTAATTTTACATACAAGTATTTAATTTTTAACAAGACTTATTCTGACACACGTAAGCTATAACTATTTTTAATGTAGTGACTGTTTCTATTAATACTATTACTAATAACTTCAATTATTTTGACATCTGCACTTTTATAAAGAAATATTCTTAAGTCTAGCCTACAGACATATATGGTATGATATAGAAAAGTTAAGGTTTCAAGTGTTCCCCATCCCCTCAGAATTAAAATATAAGTTAATATAAAAATATAACCATATAATTTTAATAAAATAAAGCAAATTATTGAATTTTTTTTTTTTTTTAATAATAATTTTTTAGGGTTTGTTTTTTAATTGTTGGTTGGTTGTTATACTTTTAAAAATCTTATTTATTTTAGGGGGAAGGGGGGGGAAGGGGGGGGGGCATTGATGTAAAAATATTTATATATATATTAATATATAGACTATATATTTTTTTACATATTCATATATGATATAGGCTATACTTTTATACTATAACAATAACAGGCCTATCTTTTATTTTTTTTTTTAACTAACTTATTCAAGTAGTGAACAAATTACACTGACAGTGAGTGTGAGTAACTTTTTTATTAAGACTAAAACTAAAATAAATTAAATTTTTTAACTATCTATAACTATAGGCTGTAGGATTATTATGGCATGGTAAGTAACTATTTGAAATATGAATGAAAATGGTAATGGTAGACTACCTAGCCCAGGGGATGGGAAAGTAATTTAAAAAATAGTATTAAATAATAATATACTAATTATACTTTAATTGGTTTTTTTCTTCTTCAGTCACCCAAGTCAAACAGGCCTGATCAATAACATTTCTGACTAGGCCTAGGCATTAGTTTACAGATACTATTAACTCATTAAATGGGAACACATACTAGACAACGGACAATGAATTGAATGAAAATGTAGGCGTAGGTTTTCTACTTATTTTTTATCATAATCATAAAGTTTATGAACAAATACGATTTTAAATCATTTTAATTAATTTTTTTTCAAGAATTTAACATAATATTAACTAATACTAATACTTGGTAATCTTATGCAAACCAAATCTGAGAAAAATTTAGCTCTTGTTAGACCGGGAGGGAGATTTTTGTATTACTATTATTCAACAGATGTTCATACCCAAATCTGACTTTTTATCTATGTACTGTTCTGACTGGGTCATTTCAGACCATCATTTCAAATTTACCGATTATTTAATATATTTTCTTCGCATCTTAGTGTGTAAAAATCAATCATTTATTAAAAATGGATATGAAAAGAATGCAAATATGCCAATTTAGGACCTAACATCTTATCTATTTTATTTAATGGCACTGTATAATGTGCATCGATGCAGACCAGTGGTCTGAGTATAAGGTCAGTTTAAGATTTGGGGTGCGAACCCAGACCGCCGCCATCATGACAGCTCTGCCTTTTGGACGCTCGACTCGCCATTAGTTATTTTTAGTCCAGTGGCCTAGCTGGCCGGTTTGAATGTAAACAGTGTCACGCATTTTAAAACGTAGCAATGGCTTACCTAAATTAAACGTTATATAGTTTGCATTTTGCAAAATATTCCCTTCCCGTTACAAAATAACTATCACCACCATTTCACAAATTCACAATTCGTCTGATCGCATCGCATTATGAATGTAGGTCTTGGAGTTCGGATCCCTTTGTGCAGATGGGCGGTAATCGAAATTACCATAACTGTTTATAAATGGATATCAGTTATATACCTTAGATTCATTAAAAAAAAAAAAAAAAAAAATTTAATGCCAATATTTAGCTTTCGATATTCATAATTAAAATGGGTAAATGGCATAAATACGGTAATCGAAATTACCAAAACTTTTTATAAATGGATATCAGTTATATTCCTTAAATTCATTAAAAAAAAAAAAAAAAAAATTTAATGCCAATATTTAGCTTTCGATATTCATAATTAAAATGGGTAAATGGCATAAATACGCACACATTTCTTCAATTTTAATCTAAACTTTCTGTTACCCCCATTCTGCAAAATAGTAATAATAATAAATAAAAATAATATATATAAAAACTAATCTTGATCATTCGAATGCTCCACCCCGTTTTTAAAATAATTAAAGTGATGGCAGTGATTTAAATGCAAACCCTTTTATATCAAAGATGGAATTCTAAGTAAATTTAAAAAATTCAACAATCCTAAAGACAAAGTTTTTTGTTTAAATCCTTTATAAAATGTAATGTGGGGGGTGGGGGCGGGTTTGGTTGGGGGGGAGGGCTGAAAATTTGACAAAACATGCATAATACAAGTAACGCACTTTCTATGAATCAAAATTAGTGCCCCCCTCCCCCGGCTCACAACTGCACATTTTTTAAACGCCTCTGAACTATATTAATATTTTTAATGACCCACCTGCTTTTGGGGCCATCCATAAATGTCGTCACGTGTCTGGGTTGGGGGGGGGGGGGCGGACAGATTTTTTGACGAGGGAGGGGGGGGGCCTCAAGCCATGGGACGTCACATGAAAAGCAGAATGTCGTAGTAAAGAATTTCACTTAATAACACTAAATTACAGACAAGTTTAAAATTATTTTTAAAAAACAAACAATTATAATTATTTTATTTTAAAACTACTATCACTAAGAGAATCAGTACAGTAGGTATGTGAGGTCCGAAGAATGACCTCCTAACAAGTTACAGGACACCTAGGAGTTGGAGAATGGGAATGTAGTTACAATGACAGTCGTGAGAATTTTTGGCTAAATCTGGACACGGGAAGTGGGATGGGACGGGGAAAAAAAGGTTGACCGCGGTCAATGATTAGGTCAGAAACCCACCGTGGTGACCATGTTTCAACGCCGAATGAAGTGTTCGGTAACTTTGGTAAGTGACCGGAAGCTATTTTTATCTACATTCTGAGAAGTAAAGCTTTCTTTTGATAACAGTGGGCGCTTCTAAGCACAAAGTTACAGTTCTTAAATTCATTTCCCCCTGACCTTCAATTAATTTGTTTTTGTTCTTGTATTTGTTATACTATGCACTAAGTTTAAGTTTTATGCATTCTGATTAGCAGCATTAAATATTTTTCTGGTGAATTTCGTTGGCGCATTGCGTGTATTGGTATTTTTCCCCTTCTTTATAAAAAGTAATTAAAGAAATAAAACTACGATAATTAAATTATTTAATTATTTTAAATTTTATTAAAATATAATTTATACGATTGGGGGAGGGATGTTTAAAACGGAGTGGGCCTGCAGGGCTGCAAAAATAGGTTAAGAATCCCTGCCCTAGAGCATTTACTAAGATACCCCCACCCCGCGGTCAACCATTTTCCCCCCTCCCATCCCACTTACCGTGTCCACGTTTAGCCATAATATATTCTCACGACTGTTATTGTAACTACATTCCGATTCTCCTACTTGGCGTCCTGTAATTATCAGAGGCCATTTTTGGACCTCGCATGAACCTGCACTGATTCTCCCAATGATAGTAGTTTTAAAATAAAATAATTGTAGATTAAAAAATAATGTTAAAAATGACGTCATTTAGGGTTATTAAGTGCAATTCCTTACTACAATATTCCACTTTTCATGTGACGTCACATGGCTTGAGGGGCACCTCCCCATTCCCCCTCGTCACACATGGTCACAAAAATCTGCCCCCCCCCCCCCCCATTTCATGTGACGTCACATGGCTTGAGGGGCACCTCCCCATTCCCCCTCGTCACACATGGTCACAAAAATCTGCCCCCCCTCCCCCTTTTTAAAAAAAATTTTTTTTTTTAGACACGCAGCGTCATTTATGGATGGCCTCTTATGTAAATATTAGATCAGTTCTGTTCTGGTAGGGTACGTTACTGAATCCATGTACTTGCAAATGTGCAACGGTTGGGGAAGCGATGCTGCTATCCTAACGGCTCCTAGCAGATGCCAGGGCAGCCTTGAAGCTCTTATAATTGATGTCGAGTCCACCACGGCGGCATTGTCCAGGTGTTTCCAAGTGATTATTGTGCGTGGGGAGAATGAGTGCTTATATTGTATTGTGTTACACCGAGGCACAGTGAGGCATTTGCTATTGTACCGGATGTAATTGCTAATGGAGTTGTCAGAGGTGAAGTCAGTGTTTAGTGAGCGTTTAACTCTTATTAAGCGAAGGGGCCTCTGCGGGGTGAGATACGTGTTTGCTGGAATGGTCAGCACTAGCTCCATGGCCACTTTATATAAGAATGTTAGGCGGAGCTTTTCTTGTCTGTCTTTAAAAGGGGGGGGGGATGTCAAATCTTTTTAAGAGGCCAGTGACGAGGCCATGGTGGATCTGTAGTCACGTACGATGAAGCGCACTGCTTTACGTTGGACTCGCTCCATCTTGTCCACGTCTTGCTTTAGGTATGGGTCCCAGATGATCGCACCATATTCTAGTAGTGGACGCACGAGTGCAAGATAGGCATTTCGTTTGCAGGAGGTTGGGCAGTGGCACAGATTTCTTCGAATGAAACCTAGGGCGGAGTTGGATTTTTTTTTTTAAATTTTGTTTATATGGGGTGACCATTTTAGGTTATTCGAGAAGAGAATTCCAAGTATTGGAATATTTGAAACTTGTTGGAGAATTGTCTCGTTTAGGGAGTACATATACGTTGATAGTTTTTACTTGAGATGCTCATTGTGTACCATTTGGTTTCGTTAAATTTCATGCCCCATTTGTCCGCCCAATTCATAAGGCACTTCAAATCTGTGTGGTTGTGGTCATCGTAGCCGTTTATCTATCTGTAGACAAGACAATCATCTGCAAACAGCCTGACTTGAGATTTTACAGTATCGGAGAGGTCGTTTATATGACAGAGAAAGAGAAGGGTGCCCAGCACTATGCCTTGAGGAACTCCCGAGTCTACAGTGGCTTTGCCTGATCGGACGCCATCTACCACTACTTGCATGGTACGTTGTGTTAGGAATGTTGAGAGCCAGGAGTGAAGCTTGTCGGTAATGCCGTAGTGGTGGAGCTTATGTAGAAGAAGGCTGTGTGGAAGAGTGTCAAAGGCCTTGAAGAAGTCGAGAATTGCCATGTCGACCTGGTTACCTTTGTCATAGGAGGCAAGTAGGTCATTAGTGGCGATGATTAATTGAGTTTCTGTTGAGAATCCAGAGCGGAAACCGTGGTTTGAGTCAAGATGTTCTAGTGTTCAAGGTGGTTCATGATGGGGCGCGGATGATGTGTTCTAGAATTTTGCATGGAACGAAGGGACATTTGGGCGGTAGTTTGCTGGGTAATGACGGGCACCTTTCTTCTAGGCATTAGTGATATTCGTTTTATTTGGTATAATTATTAATGTTTTTGGAGTGGGGGAGGGTGTTGGGGGCGGGTGGGGGGCAAATTAAGAACGTTTGCACAGGATGGCATTAGCATTTAGTTGCTGGGTCAGTGGCATCATGTAAGGTCTAAAAAGTCACTCATATCATGTACGTTGGATATTGGGGAGAGACAGACTATTTATTCTATCATATTTCTCAATTGAATCTACTTGCTACAATTTTTTTTATTTTTTGTTTGAAAAATCTTTAAATAGTAATGAGAAGATTACCAATTGTAATTTAAAGAGTATCTTCTTATCTTCTAATAGGAAGGTGATGGGGTTCAGTAGTGTAAGACAGGTTTTGACGCTTGGGGGGGGGGGGGGGGTTTTTTTTTTTTTTTTGAAAGGCCCATACACCTAAATAATCAATTAAATTCAACATATACAATTTTAAAATTTGTTATGAATACATTATGATTAGTTTAATTTGTATTTTAAACAACAAACACGTCCAACATGTTCGAAATCGAGAGGAAAATGGAGAGAGCCAAAGGGGTTAGTTAGCCCACACCAGTGTTCCCTCTAAGGTTTGTTGGTTCGTGTGCAAAATCATTAAGTTGTGTGCACATTTTTACAGAATCAATTTTTTTTTTGTGCGCAATTTTTTTAGCCTACAGACACTTAAGTGGAAATTAGCTGCGCGGTACTCAAAACTGCTGCGCGGCGTCTATGAGATTGCTGCGCGGACGCGCAGAACATTGGCCCACACCCCTGAAAAAAATTGATAAAATCAAAATGCAGTGATGCATTTTGGCGCATACCGGAATTTTTGTGAAATACTAGTTGAATTTTAGGTTCCCTGACCCGAATAAGATAATAACAAAAATTTATGTTTAGTTATTATCAAATAATAGTGTTGTTTACCGGTATTTAAAATATTCATTTGTTTAAAACAGTTCCTTAATTAAAGTGTTCAGGTATTTACCAAGAAATTACATGAATGAAGGACATTTTTTGTAATAAAATGAAAGTTAAAAACAGATATTGGAGACGCAAAAACAAGTAATATATCCTTGAAAATGGTCCGTGACGGGGGGGGGGGGGGGGGGGGGGGGGGGGGGGGGGGGGGGGGGGGGCGGCGCTGCCACCTCTGCTACGCTACAGTTGGGGCTCATAGATTTCAGATAGACCATTTTGACACTCTGCACACAGAAATTTAGGAATATGGTACTGGTACTGACATTTGGGTGACCAAATCATCAACTGGAAAAAACAGGACACACCTAAGGAGGGTTTGGGGGATACCCACCAGCTAAAGAGGGGTCCGGGGGTCTCCGCCGGAAAATGTCTTTTGAAATATGCTCATTTGAACTATTTTGAGACCTAGAAATCTTTTTAAATTTACCTTCACTTTTGTAATTTAATTTAAACTCTGTGGCATATCATAAACGAAAGCAATAATTTTGCAGCGTCGGCAGAGTGGTGGAGGAGGAACAGTGCAGCCATCACTCGAGCCCACATCACTACTGGCACTGGCTACACAGCTAGCCAACATATTACTTGAAGTTATATATTAGGAAGTTTAGTGATTTGAAAATGTGCTTGGTTTAGAAACGGGACATTTAGGCATCCCAAGAGACTTTTTCGGGACAACGGGTACAATCGTGAAAAAACAGGACAATCCTGTTTTTACGGGACGTTTGGTCACCCTATACTAACAAGCTCTACGAGAATATCGATCATGTCATAAGTCAAATTAATTGATACTAAGACCAGACTTTGAAACTGTGACTAAATTGTAACAAGCCGGGAAGCAGAAAAAGGCCAGCTAAACACGGGCGATTTCAGTAAAACCTGGACATATGGTCAGCTTATTCATGGGTACCCGCAGAATAGGGCTGTTACATTTTTTTTAGCTCTCTAGGATATTTGAAACTTAATGAAATTTGTATATAACATGTTTAGAACAAACATTCAAAATCCATGTAAGTGTATTTAAAGGTTTTAAAACATGAGGAACACTTAGAAAATTCAAAATATGCTATGTTTATTTCATCAATTAACATTTTAAAAACACATTTATTATAGATTGCATAGGTAGAATCAGATAACAAAAGGACTCTCTAAATAAATATAACTTATTAGTTATAGGGCAAAACAGGTAACTGGAATATACTAATGCAGGACTGAATAAATAACAGTAAACTGGTGTTAGTCATTAAAATGTTTGGTATATATGAAGCACAAGGTAAATTAAAGCATGAAAAAAAAAACTGTGAGCTAGTAATAGAGACCCTTACCCAAAAACAAAGAGAGAAAGAGCCAAAGTAGGATGAATACCTGGTAGAAGAAAACAAACTCGGCTCTGTAGATGACAATGAAGGCTTCTATCCCTATTTTAAAAAAAAAAAAACTGTTTTGTAAAGCTTTAACATACCATAGCATGTTCATATATACCGAACTGTTGAATATCTTGATTGCATCCTGCCCCTATGTTACAAAATAGCTGAATATATGAATGTTGCCCACACCTGGCACAGAAGTTAAGAAAAGAATTCTTTTGTCAATATACACTACATCCTGAGATAACATCAAATATACAAATAGAGCTTTGTATGTTACGGCATATTGCAATGAAATTTAATAGAAATGATAAAATTATTTTAAGAGACTTTTCAGAAACGGCAGTGCAGCTACGATTCAGCCATATTAAACACTAGCCACAATCAGTCCAAAGTTGGCAAAAGGTCATTGAGCTACCATGTAAGACTTGACACGATATAGCAAATATTTGGATTAACCTTTAAAGTAAATCAAAAGCGATTCTTCATTTAAATTACTATAATAATTTTTATTTAATCTGACAATTATTATAATTTATTGTAAGGAAAAATTCAACATTAACTTATCTAACCTAGCGTTTCATATTTTACCTATTTAAAAGTTAGCATCAGTGAGGTTCATTTAATTCTTTTCTTTAAAAACAGACACAATAATTTACCCTGATGCCAAAAAAATAATAATTAAGTTACCTTAATTAAAAAATAAAATAGTTACAAAACTCAAGGTTTATTAATTATAAATATAATAAAAGTAAATTATTTTTTTTAACCACAACTGAGAATCAAACAAAAAAAACACACTTTTTTAAAGAGATGTTCACCGAAACAGCCATTTAAAAAAACAAAACAACTATATTCACAGAATATTTGTTGAAGGAAGCTCATTTAGCCATATTGTCACAGCAAAAAAAGCCAAGTGATCTTAAGTAGTGTTTACTTATTTTTCCAAAAATTAAATGTATGGAAAAAAGATTATTCTTAATTATAGTTATAGTAAATCTACATACAAAAAAAAAATGATCTGTTATTAAATTGACGATATCCTCCACAGCTCCAACACTGCAGATATTTAGAGTATTTTGGGGGTTAAATTTAGAAATTTATTACTTTATAACGAAAACTGTGTTATGATAAGTCTCATAACAATAAGTAACTGTGTTTATATTTCTGATTACATTTAAAATATCTGCTAATGGCACGATACTTGTTTATTTCAGTAATTGTAGTAAACTATCAGGGTCAGGTTTTTCAGCCATGCCATGTGGAGTGTAGCCTAAATCACATATAGATTTGTAAGTTGCTGGGCCAAGGGCGATAATCTGTCAAATTAAAATAAAACATATGAGAAGAATTTATTTTAAAAAATATTAAATTTTAAAATGTTAACATTGTTTTAAATAGCTAATGATAAAAATAAGGAGAGTAAAATGAAATACCCAAGTCTTCTTTTAGATAAACTTACTTTCACTTTTTCAAGTGGTAAAGAATCTCTGTCCACAACTGTGAGAGTATACTGAAAACCTGATGGACTGAAGAAAACTGCATAGTTTGGAACACCCTGGAAATATTGACAGTTATTTCAAAGTGTATCTTAAATATTCACCTCAAGACTCTTTCTCTCATGCTTTGTCAAAACAATTGATGTTCTAAATCTTTAAATTGCTTAGTTAATGATTTAATAAGACGCCTGTTAATTTATTGGTATAAATAATGGCATTAACTACCATTAGATATAACTTTTAAGCCAAAAATGCTCTTAAAATTATTTATCAGTAGGTACCAGCTGTTTCATTTTAGTTTAAGTTTAAGATAGTTTTTTTAAGTACCAGTTGCGCAAGAGCTCCATGAATTGCATTCTTCAATTCTTCATTGGGGCAGGTTTCATATGCTATAACTTCTGTAACTGACAGACCTGAAATACATTTACAATGATGTAAACATATTTTAACATAAAACATATAAGTTTTGCTGTGTATTTTTTTATGCTGCTTGGATGTCATATTCATTTAGAATATAAACAACCTGTAAAATTAATAAAACCATGAGGTAGATAAGAACTAGATATTTTTTTTTAAAATTCTTTCAAAATCTATAACTGAAGCTAACTTTTAACTGTCATGAACTCACCTGATAAAAATTGGAAAATGAAATAATTTTTATGACATTATTATTATTATTATAAGTGGTTTTATATAGCGTGGTACCCCAGCCCTACCCATGCTGTTATTACAATTTAACAAAAATAATCAAGAACTTAAAAAATTAATAAACATACAATAATTAAACAAAACAAATGTATATTTAAAACTATTTACATGTCAAGTTACGATAGTGTAACAGTTAAAAGAATTGTGTACCAATAAAAAAGCAGAAGAAAAGAATAAGGTAAAACAACCTACCATTACTTGTCAGCATTTCTTTCAAATTGTCCCTGCGTATGTTAGAGCATGGATACAAGAAGGTCTTGCTTTTATCAGACTTAACTGTAGAAAAAAATTATTTTTTTTTTTTTCAGAACATCTCAAAAGTAAAACTGAGATAATATTTTAAGTTAAAGGACAAGGGCAATGCTAGGAAACTTGAAAAAAAGCAAGTTAGTTGTTACCGTACTGATACCCTTAGCAGACAGTATAATTTTAACAGTATCGAATAAGAATGGAGAAAAAAAAAATCTTAATTGTAAGAGCAATGGCATTTCATCAATCCTCATTAATAATATTTTGCTTTGATTCAATTAATTTTTAAGCTAGTTATCAAAGTGTCACAAATAAAGGTTTTGAAGGACCGTACTTGACATGAGACTTTCAAGCTCATGGCAATCAAGGGCCAAAAATTAATGCATTAAATAAATATCATCATAGCCAATCAAACAAGCAATTAGCGAGGTGCACAATAGTACAAATAATTTGTTACGTCTTTCATTCTTGTTGGTGCCTACAAGCTGTTCCATAGTAAAGGCTGTCCGTGTAAGTAAGGTGGTGTTTTCAATTACAGGTATACGGAATGCAGACAAAAAATGTTCTGATAAGTTTTTTATTTGAACTCACCCTGTCGTAAAATAAAATCTGCTAACGCTTCACCATGGCCCGTATCTTCACCTTTAGGATTGAAATTGGCTTTTCTTGCTACAAGTAGAAAATAAATATTTTTGATATGGTAACTTAATGAAGACACCAATGTTTTGATACAGTATTATAAACTTTCACCTCTCTATATAGTTAGTATTAAAAAATACAAAAATATCTAATACGTAACAATAAAAAGTAAAAACAATTTAGATGATTAATGCTTTTTATCAGCCAGACTGTCACTTTCAGTAAATCTTAATTAAATAGATGAAATTAGTATTACTTGTTTTAAAATATATTTCTAACCTGCCTCTGCTGTTGCTTTCCCAACAACAAAGCTTTCAAGGTGTGCAAAATTCTCAATATTAAGTTCTGTCGAATAAATTTTCCGAACAATATTTTTACTGACCAGCCGTGACACTATTGGTATACAAATTTTCAGTAATTTTAAAATGAATTACGAAAAAAAAAAATAGTGTGGCAAAGTTTTCAAAGGTTTTTAAAATAAAATTTGAAGCAAATAACTTATCTTTCTTCTAACAAATTCAAAATCTATTCCATTTTTAACACCAATTAAAGTAAAACCAAACTGTAGTCACTCTTATTTCATTCTTTTTTTTTTTTTTTAGAATCTACAAAAATAAAATGAGATTTACCTTTCATTACATTGACAACAGCCTCCACAGCTCTAACACTAGTAAATATGATGGCAGAAAATAGATGAAATGCTGACATGTAAGACTTGAGAAGAGACTGATTAACAAAACTAAATGACAAAACTGGGAGTGAGACACTGGGAATCCCTGCTTTCTCTAGAGTCTGAAGAATAAATTGTATGAAACTGTTGTTGAATACACACATTTTTGTTCAATACAAGTAAGCATCATGGTACAAGAACAGTGAAACCTGTGAATAGCATTAACACTTGGAACAGAACCAAAATCAGGTTCTGCCAGAATGATGATCATGTACAACATTATTTGAACAAAGAGAAGAATAAAATTAGCAAAATAAAAAGAAAGTAAATTTTTTTACAGGTACATAACCACAAACAATATTATGACACTAATAATTGATGGACTGCATCCAAGTTGTGTAAATGAAATATAAGAACAAGGTGTGCTAAACTTGAATTAATAGACAGGACAAAAGATTTGGATGTTTCGGCTTAGAGCCCTTAGCAGCAAACAAGACAAAACGTTTGCTGATGAAGGCTCTAAGCCAAAACGTCCAAATCTTTTGTCCTGTCTATTAATTCAAGTTTAGCTTACCTTGTTCTTATGAAACTTAGCAAGATTTTATTGTGCTTTTTCATTACATCAACATGTGGATGTTCAGAATTTGAGAAGTTAACACAAAATGCACACAGAGGTTTATTCACAACTAACAACTAGCATGTTAAAAGACCCCATGAGGACTTGACCTCTATTTGTAATGTGTTATAAACAAACATCTCAAATTGGCAGATACTTTATAAGATCTTACAATTCATGGGCATAGAGAGAGGGCTGTTCACCTGGGACCCTTATTTTTGGAGGGAGGCAGCATTATTTTCATACTCTTCAAAGTGATTTTTTCCCCTTTATTATCTGATATTCTCTTCACAGTCTTGGGCAAAATTAAATTATGGGGGACTGTGTTCTGTTAACTTGTTTATATCAATGGCACAATAAATGCTTGCCATATCAATTTTTCTACCAATTTTATGCATATCATAGGATCTTAATTTTTTTAAACATGTACAGTATTTATTTCTTAAATAATCACATTTCATATTATTTTATTTTTTTTAAATCTTGATTTTTTCTCTATCATTTCTTATATCATAATAATAAAAATTACTAAAACATTTTGTGAAAATCAAGGACTCTTTTTTTCATTTTCAAAACCAAAAAGAAGCAAAAGGTCCCTAACACCCCATTCATAATATTTTTGGGATGGCAAATGTGTCACAGAAACCCTTGTGCATTTCTCGTTTGACAAGATTTGCACTATTTCAAAAGGTTTTTGTTAAGAAATTTTTTGTGCCAAGAGTGTGTTAGTGCATTTGCTAAGGGCTTACAGTTTACATGTTAACAAAGTTGTTTTAAAATTATATCTAGGCTGTTATTTTTTTCTAACTTTATTTAACAACTATTATCCAGTTCTTTGTCATAAGTGACTTGCCAAGTGAAATATGGTCTTTAAATACTTTTACCCAACTTCTTCTTTTGTTGAAGCTTTTATTTTAACTCTTTTTGACAATGACTCTTTTTTTCATTTTCAAAACCGAAAAGAAGCAAAAGGTCCCTAACACCCCATTCATGGTATGGTACCGGTAACCCAAAACAGATAGAAATTGTTTTGTTTTTTAAATTTTCTTTTTTTTCTAATTTCAATGCTAACCAATTATTTAAACAACCATTATTTAACTTAAGTAGTAAAAAAATGTATGTTTTATTAATCTATTGTTTAATTTTTAATGTGGATAAAAAAACTTTCTTACCTCAGCATATCTGTCTATTTCATTGTCTTTTGGACTTTTAAACAAAAATACTGTTTTTTTGTTTATACTTTCAAGTTGATGGTTGTTTTCACATTTCTGTCCATCCATTTAAATAACAGTCTGTCAATAAGTGTCAATACATCAAATAAATAACCTTGTGTAAGCATTTATAAGTAGCTATTTAGCATTTATTTAACTTTAAGTCTATCCACTCATATTTTTCACAAACGAAAAGCCATTTATGATCTTCCAACAAAAATGTTAATAAGTCTGCAAATTTGAATTTTTTAAAAACAAAATATTTCATATTGTAGCATCAAATTCTTTTTTTTTTCAAATAGGATTTGTCTGGTTGATTAGCCAAAGTATTACAGTTTTAGACTTTCAAGGCCCTAACCCAAAATCAAAGCTTACTTTACAAATGAGAATGAGATATCCAAACCAATATGAAAAACACATTACAGTAACTGACTGACATATGGCTGAGGCTTGAATAAAGGCCATAGCAGTAATTCACCTGTAAATCATTGTTGGTGGTTCTCACTATATGACCGTGACCGTGAGGCTGCCCTGTAGTAAGCTTTACTTATCTAATAATTCATCATAATGATTGTACTTGGACAGTCATTTTTACATGACAGTCAATAAGTCATTTTGAGTAGACAGAGTGTGAAAGACCTAGTGTTAAGTTTTTGAAATGTGTACTCACTCAGTCTCATTTCATGGTTCTGTGATTGTACACTTAGTCTTTACTTAAGTTGTATTAGTGATTCCAGATAGATTGATTATTGAACTGACCAAAAGATCATATTATTTCATGAGTCATACCTTTGCTTCAATTTTTAATATTCTATCAGTGATCAGGCATTATAGTACATTATTTTACCGTATTATAAAATATTCGGCACTCCTCTGAACGCTGGTCCCAAATTTTAAATAGTTTACTTTTCTTTAGAAAGTGCCAGGCGGCCCCAATAATTGGCAACATAATTGTTTACCTCTATGATTCTGAATAAATGGAGTGGTCTTTGCTTATAAATAATATAAAATAAACAATTCCATGGCTGGCAGACCGAAAACGCTGGTTCATCTTGCAAACAATATTAAGTCAGGAAACATTCTGCAAATTTATGCCACAATGCTGAAGGTTTCTGTATGACAGCATCCATTCATTGGTTAGTGTAACTTGCTGAACACTGTCTCATAGCAGTCAATGTCCCTTGTCCTTAGTCTGACGTGATCAGCCACTGTATGGTTACCCGTGGAAATGCTGTCCGTGTAATATGACATGCAGTATATGCACCTGGCATTTTTTGCAAAGGTGAAACATGCCATGGTCTGTTTCCAAGCTTCTTTTGCGCTTTTCAGCCTTTTCACTAAAGGCTAAAGTGAAAAGGCTGAAAAGCGCAAAAGAAGCTTGGAAACAGACCATGGCATGTTTCACTTTAGCCACAAAGAACACGTTTTCAGACAGTATTTGAAGTTGTTGAGTGACTATTATCACATTTGACCATGTATTTGGTAAACCATTTTTGACTTTCCAAAGTAACTGCTCATTCAAAATAGTTTCAATAGTGTTTTCTTGAATTTGCAACTGGTGTTCAGAGGATTGACAAATATTCAAAAATAACAGGCCCTATCTTAGGGTTCATATAATATAGATTGATTATAGATTAAATGAGAATCTGATTGGAGGTCTTAAAATAAAATCCATTATGAAATTGAAAACTCACTAATGGGGATTGAAAGTTACCTGCTCATCAACAAATCAATTCACAATTCTATTCACATTCCATCGTTTGCATTTCCCATCCGTCATCATGACCATACTTGAACTTCTTGAATATTGATATTTGAAGAATTTGATACCATTACCAACTGTTCCTATTTTGTGTGTAAAATCATTTTATAGCGCATTTCTAATATACAGAATATCGTGTATATTTAAATTTTAGTCATAATATTTATAATAATACCCTTAGAATCAAATTTAAAAAGATCAACATTAAAGTAATGCTGTTTTGTAGCTGAGTGATATGCCGTTTCACAATCAACCTCTTTACTAAAGTGAGTTTAAAATCTACAGCAAGAAAGCGAAACCGGAAATCATCCCCGACCTTATCAGAGACCATAGTGGACTTATAAGGAGTAAAACTACTAACTATGACTATAAATAAGTATGACGCCAAATGAAAGCAACCTAAATAAAAATTTTAACCAATTGTTGTTTCCTACCAGTTTGCGCTAACAAACTCTTAAAATTAAAAAGGTTTAGCGAACCGGTTGCTATCCTAAAATTATCAAGAAATAATCCGAACATGTTCCTAAAGATTGCTTGCCTAAAATAGATTTGTCTCCTGGAAATTCGGAATTCATTACTGACTTCTAACGGCAACGGTGTTAAAACGGAATGGTTTGGGTCTGGGTTCACTGTAGCTGACAATTACAGATTCTTTTTCCTTCGAATTTTTTCTCTTTTTTTTAATGACGAAATAAAAACTCCTTTTAAAAAAAAAAAAAAGTTGGAGGTGAGAAAAATAAAGCTACTTTAAAAAAAAATATATATTAATAATTAGTAATACTAGTTAGTGTTGTCTCACTTTGGATCAGACTCGGTGTTTCCGAAATACTCTGGCCATTTATCAGTGTCACACTTATTCTAAATAGCTTATGGCCAAAGCGTACGTGTATTTAAACAACTCCCTAAAAAAAAAAGGTTTTCGTAGCATAGTATAACTCCGCCTGACTTTCTTCTATAAAGTGATCATGGGACTGGTGCCGACCATCCCAGTAGGCACGTACCTCACCCCCACAGAAGCCGGGTAGACTGATCAGAGCAAAACGCTCACTGAACACGGACTTCACCACTGACATTCCCATAAACAATTACACCAGAAACAATAGCAAATGCTTCAAAGTGCCTCAGTGCAACACAGTGCAGTATCAACAATCTTTCTTCCCACGCACAATAATAGCATGGAACAACCTGAACGATGCCACTGTGAACTCGACATCAGTCGAAAGCTTCAAGGCTGCCCTGGCATCAGCTAGGAGCTGTTAGAATAGCAACATCATACCCTCAACCGTTGCAAAACTGCCAGTACATGGATGCAGCAAAGAAACATTACCAGAACAAGAACCAGAACAGAAAAGCATTTTTATTATTAAATAATATTCTAATGTCCCATCCGCTTTTGCACCGCAGATCTATATCACCATTTCAGCACACACACAAAAAATATAGAAAAAATAATGTGCACCAAACGCACTTGCGACAAATTATATAAAGAATCTCAGTTATCCCAGTTATCGGGAATTTCAGTCCATTAAATAAAGTGGCATCATATTTCCTCCATCTTCTCCTTGAACTACAGGAAAAACTGATTTTTTTGGGGATGTTACTGAAAATGTGATAGAATGTGATGTCCTTTTAACAACGAGTCTACATGCCAAGTTTCAGCCTGTTCAAGAATATTAAGAAACTTATCGTTAGATATTAACCCAATCAGCACAACACCATCATTTACTGGCTCCGGCACAACACCATCATTTACTGGCTCCGGCACAACACCATCATTCACTGGCTTCGGCACAACACCATCATTTACTGGCTCCGGCACAACACCATCATTTACTGGCTCCGGCACAACACCACCATTTACTGGCTTCGGCACAACACCATCATTTACTGGCTCCGGCACAACATCATCATTCACTGGCTCCGGCACAACACCACCATTCACTGGCTCCGGCACAACACCATCATTTACTGGCTCCGGCACAACACCATCATTTACTGGCTCGGTTAAGTAGGCTTACTACAGTTCAGGCTCAGTTAAATATGCCTGGAACAGGTTGCTAACACCGTCACCCTGGGTAGATGGGACTCATTAACCTTGGATGGCAACTCGTCAAAGAGAAAGAAAACTCTAAATTCAAAGTCACGCAGGCGGTATTGCATAATTCAGTGAAAGTTCCGATAGCTCCTACGACGTTCCTAGTGCCAGCAAAGCTGTATCAATAAACTAATATTATCATGCTCTTGATGTCTCTTGGGTTAACCAGATGAGTGGAGAGAGAGGGGATTTGTTGACTAGGCAACGCGCTTATTCTTCTAGCAAAAATTCCAGGCATTGTGATTTCGTCTTGTTAAGTCTCACAATCGTCACATTCAGGACCGGTCTTACGGTAGCTGGCGCCCCGGGCAAGCTTAACTTTGGCGACCCTTTTTAGTATAATTATAATCATAACAATTTTGCAAGGAAAAAAGATGTACATAATGAGTTTATTATCTAGGCTGTATTTTAAATAAACAATAGTAGGGTGGGGGGGGGGGCTATTGTTTTTCTTAATTTTTAATGTGAACAGTTATAACAATTAGCCTGCCGATGATTTTTTTTTCTAGCCTTTACATCAGCAAATCTTTTTATTGCACTTTCTATATTTATATTTTTCGCAATATAATTTTCTGTAGACAAAATTACCAAAGAATTCATTCTGTCTTGAGAAACGGGCGTTATGGCAAAGAGAGAAGAACTCGATGCACCCACAAAGGAACATGCGATTTATGTAGTAGCCCTATGCCATAGGGTATGGCTCACAAAAATTGTGCACTAAAAATAGTATTCTCCCATGGCACCCATGTGCAATGCTTTTCCTATTTTGGAAGATCGTTGATGGTACTAAGCAACTGCCTGAGTTTCCGGTACATTGAGCCGGCACTGGTCACATTGTGACGGTTGGACACTGGTCACATTGTGATGGTTTGGTGCATAAAATAATAAAGAATATTTTTAAAAAAATAAATTGAACTCTATTACAGTATACATGGTGTAACAAAATCATATGTATGTCTTTAAAGGGCCACGACAAGCACAAGTGGCACCCCGGGCAAAGCCTGAATTTAGGGCTGGGCACCCTCTTCTCGATTACGTATTTATTTGTAGCCGTGTGGTGGCGTGGCTGACGGTGTTGATACACAAACAAAGAAATGCAACTTTTTTTCATCATCAACACGTGGTAACATCACATCACGTCTCAGCTCACACACTAAGTCGTATCAGACGCAGCTGACCACCAGGTCCCAGCTCAAAAAGGAGCGGGTTTAAATCCCACCTGCCTTATGGAGACACTATGACGTCAGCATCATGAGCTGTTAATTGGTCGCCCATGGGACAGGCATGGCCAGGTCGGTGGGTGTGAACACGCCTGGGTAAACAATCGTATAACCACAGGAGCGTGTTCTTTTGTCCCATAGGTGGCACAGTGCCACATAGAAAATGTTACATAAATGGCAGGTAGAAAGCATTTACTTAACTATAAGTCATTGTAAAAATTAAATGTTACATTAATGGCAGGTGGAATTGGAATGCAGTTACAAAAAGTGGCACATTGCCACATATGAATAATTGTTATATACTTTTTTTGGGAAGAGGGCGCTTTAACTTAAAGTGGTGATCTGCAACTTGTTGCCGGTCCGCACGAAATAAGATAAGAAACTTGAAAAAAAGCTGAATAATAGTGTAATTTATAATAGATGTTGAACCGGTCTCTGGTGCAGTGAAATACTAAGACTTGTCTACGGCATGAATACCTAAAAACAAGTTTAAAAATGTGTTATTATATCATTGACCCATTAGAGTTGGAACGAAGCAGATGGGGGGGGGGGGGGGGACTTTGGGGGGGGG